AAATGCCTCGTGTGATGAACGCACATGCAGCCCATGGAAAGAAGGTTGCGATTTATTTTGCTGGTATTCTCAAAGTATTCAGTAGGAATAGGACAGTAAAAAATGTGCACTAGCGATACTGAGAGCGCTGCCAATACCCATTCACGAATACTCGATTTAGAGTCGATAAAGAATACAGCGCAATACTTTCATCATTTTCATATACACTCTGTGAAATTTTTGGTCAAAGTTTAGTATCGAAAAATTAGTATCGAAAAAATCCGAATTTTATTTCGAGTACTGTGCGACTGGGATCGAGTTCACTGAGTACAATTTGTCGAGTTAAGGTACGAGTCGGAGTACAAAATTACGAGTACGTGCCGAATACTTGGTTTTTTCGAGTACTTTTTGATCGAGTACAGGCCAAGTACTTATTGGTACTCGAGTTGTACTCGAGTTTGAGTTCGAGTACGAGTACTCCAACACTGCTAACAACCCAACAAAAACATCAGATTATAGATACGCCACCAGAGATATAAGTACAGATTGAGGATTAATATCGAGGTACTTAGATTTGCTTGCGATCTGGAAGCACTGATAGTGCGGTTTCGGTTCGGTGCGGTTTCGGTTCGGCAATTTTTATCCAAATATTGGCTTGGTTCAGGTTTGGCAGATAAATAGAACATCAACTGCTGTGAGAGAATACCTATAACTCATCTTCGTGCATAAGAAACCTGTTTTAGATGCCTTTTGTTCACAAATGTAGGACCCAATCCCATGCCAGAATAAACCCGGCCAAGTCACATTGCTGCTACTTCGAAATGGGAGAATGAGAAATCATATTTTTAAAGTGCTCCAAGTGCAAAATTTGGAATGTTGGAGGGTTGAGTTTCAATATGAAACACGTCCAAATTGCCTTTGTCTTGTACCAAAAATGCATCTTAACAACATTTTGACGCCAAAACTATCGTATATTACCCCTTTCGTATACTTCTTTTACATTGATGGTGATCCAGAGCACATTAAGCATATGTCACACCATTTTAAAAAAAAATGTTGGTAACGGTGCCACACCGACAGCAAGCGTTTTGCCGCCTTGAAAAATCTTGCTCGCTATTTGCACATAGACCATGTAGACTGGTTCTCACCAATTAATGAGATGGGAATCAGCCAACTCAGTAACGACATCTACACAAATAAGTCCAGCAAACGCTTTTGAAACGATCTACATGTGTAAACTGAAGATTTTTAGCTAGTAATTTTACAAAACTGGAAGATATATATTCTGTGTATGTATTTTTTTCTGTTTCCGTGTGATTATTCCAGGCATGAAAAATTGAGTAATTTTTGAGTAGCGCCGATGGCTTATGCACATATTTTCAGTCGGCCATGTGGTCTATGATCCATCATCGAGGCTAGTTTGGATCATTACCTTAATTAACCAGTTCACATCAATACCTTCAAAATGATATCTTACTTTGACCAGTTAGATTATTTTGAAAATTTGTCCCACTAGTTTACTTTTTTCCGGAATTGCCATCAAATAGAATCACACGCCGTTGCAGGTTATGCGGTGAGCCGCGGTCGGTACGGTCTTTGCATGTATGCACAAATAGTGCAATGTATCCCCTTCCTGATTCTTTAGTTGTTTTTATACTTTAATTTTTCTCTTTAAAATAAAACAAATTAACAAAGTCAAACTTGGAGCAGGATGGTAATGGAGAACAGAAGCTGTTCTATGTCAATGTTATTTTTTCCTAGTGCCAGCGACTCCAACAACTCCGAAAACCTGGTCGTAAAACTACAGCGATAGTGGCCACTAACGTTGGAAGAAATAAAAAATATCATATGATCATACTAGCATGAGCAACATTTCACATTTTATATCAATCAGTTCGGCTCGGCTGATTTTTCCCTGAAAAAATATCTCCAGTCTCTTGCTCTTTAAGCGCAAATACAACAATAAGTTATTGGAAAATTATTTGAGTACTTAATTGTTTCTTTTTTTTTCACGGTGTTGCAGCTGCATGATATTCCCATTCATGTCTGGTGTTATGTCCTTTTGTGATGTTTGTGTGTGTAACTTGTATATTTATGTATGATTGTAACTGGGGATCTCTACTCGACAAGCATTGCTTTTTAAGGAAACCCATCAACATATTTTATTTAACTCTGATTGTCTTTTTTTATGTGGAAAATAAAGTGAATTGAATTGAATTGAATCAACTAAACATGGGCCTGAAAGTACCAGGAAAAAAAAAAACGATCACACACAACTCTCCCATATTTTCGGCATTATTTGTCACAAGCTGATTTACCCGATCATAGATTAGGTAGGGCGTATTCGTGTTGGGGTTGAAAGTGTGGGGAGTTAAATGTAAATGGGGGATTTAGTTGAGAAGACATGTAGCTATAGAAAAGCAATTTACGGTGACGCGATTTGAGGCAATTTCTGACCACGTACGATATAGTAAAACAAAAGTTCATCTTTTAAACATAATTTTCGAGTTTGGAGTCATTGAATCAGCTGTTCTGAGCAAAAGAATATTATAGTAGGCTACAATTTGTATTCGGGGAAGAAAAAGTGGGGGTAGGGAACCAAACGATATTGCCCGCTTTAAAATGTTGGGGTGGGGGTCCCCCGTCCCCCACCGATTGACGCCGCGCCCATGATAATTATGTACCATGGCATGTATAACTGTCTGTAAATTTTCCCGTTGGTCTGTTAAATTGCATTTTGTGAGGCAGTCGCGTTTGTTAATGTGGGAAAACTGAGTTGAAAGACTTACCGTATAGTACACAGGCGAAGGCTGATTGTACTGTTTTGACAATAAATCATAATGGAATGAAACGTGAAGGTGGCATTTGCAATAAAAATGTTGAGTGTGTTACCATAAAATTACATAGTCTGAATCATGGAGGAAGGTCATTATGAAGGTACAGTATTGGACTCTTCAACAAACGTAAACTTGAACTTCTTACAGTTTGCGAGACCTGCGAGGAAAAAGTCGATTTAACTATTTTATTCAAGTTGGCATGGTTCAACCATAATATAAGCAAGGCCAAACAGCCAACAACCGCCAATAGTATTATTTATGCACTCTTCGTTATTCCAACCCAACATAGTTCAAAGATCACAATATTTGAAGCAATGCATCGATCCCTCGTTGATTTCCCCGATCATAGATCGGGTAGGGCGTAGAGTTGGGGATGAAAATGTGGGGAGATGAATGTAATTGGGGGATGTAGTTGAGAAGACATGCAGTTATAGAAAAGCAATTTCTGTGGTGCGATCTGAGGCAATTTCTGACCACTAACAATTATGTACCATGGCAACAGTCTGTAAATGTTCCCGTTCTGTTAAATTGGCATTTTGTGAGGCAGTTTCATTTGTGGGAAAACGTACTTGAAAGGCTTGCCGTAGTACACAGGCGAAGGCTGATTAAGAAGGTCATAATTAAGTTTCAGTATATTGGACTCTTCAACAAACGTAAACTTGAACGTCTTACAATTTGCGAGACTGTCTGCGAGGAACTTGTCGAGTCAACTGTTATTCAACTTGGGGCAACCATCTATATAAGAGCAAATTTTACTCGGCCTCCGAGAAATGTTTGCTCCTGAAACGATCTGAGACCGCGGTCTTTCGCGACGCCAAAATCGCTCCACGTCCGTGGAAAAATGTGGAGGGTGTCTTCCGCCGGATCGGACACATTTTCGTTGATTTTTTGTGTGACTGCGTTTAAGATCTCGATGTTTGAAGCAATGCATCGATCCTTCGTTGATCCCAGACAGGCCCCCGAAATTATAACGCAACACTGTGGCGGGCAGCGAACTCACAACGCTCAGCCTTGGTGGAAGTATGGAGCTGTATTAACACACGATGGAAGCAACAGAGCACTATACACGTCACTCACATGCTTGTTCTTCAAATCATGCAAATAGCGAGCACCGTAGACCCAACCTCGTTTCCAGGGTGTGGAGCAGGCTGCAGTACGCGTTGCCATCGACAGTTTTGCATCGCCCGGAAATACTACGCAGTGTAGACTTTCGATTGGTCAGACCGCGCAAGGCATACTTAATGTGTAGTCCTTCTGAGTATTCGTTGCACACGGCGCAGGGGCGGCAAGCGAAGCATATGAAAGAATAGGGGCACTTGGTGGCCACGCACCATGGAGAAAAAATATTTTACCAAGGTCACCCCATAACACAATTTGGTGAACGCTTTTGCAGAAGGGCCGAGTAGAACACGTAAACGGAACCCCCACGTTGACCTCGCTGACCTCGCACAGTCTAGACACGCAGAGAAGCCAGCACAGGGGGCGGCCAGGCAGTCAACGTGAAAGCGCACACGACGGCAAATTCCTGCGAAAAACGCAGTCACGAAAAATCGACGAAAAGGATCGCCGGTCCGTACGGGAAAATTAGGACGACCCGAAGCGTCCGACCCGGCGGAAGACACCCTCCGCATTTTTCCACGGACGTGGAGCGATTTTGGCGCCGCGTGAGCCCGCGGTCTCGGATCCTTTCATGAGCAAACATCGTCTCGGGGGCGAGTAAACTTCTCTCTTATATATATAGATGCATTCCATAATTTCATATATGCTATCATTGTTTCGGGCCAAATAAAGAGCATTGCTGGATGCTCAAGCAATTTCTGTACTGATTTGATTTGACCTAGAGGTACTCAGTAGTCTTCGAGTTGCACCAACAAGTATTAGGGGAGGAAAACAATTTGGGGGGGGGGTTGAATGTAATACAATGAGATGTGAACTACATGTATCCAGATTGATGATTGATGTTTCAATGAATTTGAGCTTTCTGTCCATTTATAAGATAGTCAATCTGCTGTAACTTTGCGAGAGTTACTCATCTACCGGTATCACACACACTATTTACGCCATATTTCTTAGTGTTGGGCCTATATGCCTCTTTTTGATTTTCAAAATGGTGTACCCCGAGAATGGTCTATTGTTACCATTGTTACCTTTTGACAATCTTGAAAATGACTGGAAGTATTGTACCTTTGCCATCTGGTCTCCATGACAGGACATTGACCTTTTTGCTTGCCGCTTCACTTGCAGGAGCTGGTAAGATCCACACGGGTTGCTTCTGCCATGTTAGTCTTTGCAATAACACCTACATATGTACAAAACCAAAAATACACATGCCAGCTGGTTTTGGCTCCAGGGCTGAAAATTTTTTGCATTGATTGCAATTCACCATACAGCGTGTCCAAAAAAAAATGTCCCTCTCATAGACCACAGAATAATTACTAAAATCAAGTTTTATACTCAATTAAGTTTACATATTTAGAAAGCCCACTTAATTTTGTAGTTCCTGTGAAAATTTCAAAGGTCTCGCTTCATTGGTTTTGAATACACAGGCTTTTATGTAACAGCCGGGCATTCTGGCCCATTCCAAGTTTGATAAAAAGAAATGCACACTACAGACATAACATACCTTATTCCATGCTTCACTTTTAATTCAACAACTGTGTTGTTGTTTTTGTTATTGAGTAACTAAAGTCAAGTTCATTTATTTTTAAAATGAAAACTAATCAAAGTTCAGTTCCATTGGTCATGTTTGCTTTCACAGTTTATGGTTTGTCCTTCAATATCCAGCTTGTAAACCTTTATTGTCCTTCTGCACGTCCTTCCACCTGCAAACTTGGAGTGAGCTGAATAGCACTGCTGTTACATAATAGACTGTGTATTCAAAACCAATGAAGCAAGACCAATGAAATTTTCACAAAAGTTACAAAATTAAATGGGCTTTCTAAATCTGAACACTAAATTGAGAATAATACTTGATTTTGGAATTAATTAAGCAGTCTATCAGAGGGACATTTTTTTGGGACACGCTGTATATATATTCTCACCTCACAATTGTCAGCAATGAAAGTACAATACATACATGTATGTTCATGTATCCTGCTATCGCTGTGAATAGTGAGTTAAAAAGGGGACAACATGATCATGATGGACAACATGACATCTCCAACAACCTCTTTTAACCCTAGCCACTTAAAGGCTCTTTGGGGGTCGTGGACCAAATAGTGTTCCTTCCCTTTTTATAACGAACGTAGTACGGCGTCAGCGTAGAAACTGCTCATGGCCCAATGAGAAGCTCTACACGATGCGCTCTACCCAACTGTGACCGGTGTCTTTGTTGAACATCATAAATATTCATGTTTCAAAAGAACTTGTCCAAGAGAGGCGTGAGCACAGCTAAAAATCATGTATAATGGAAGCACGTGGCCACAGCGATGTGCATCATAATATAGGTTGGTATAGAATTAAGCGGGTGAAGCAATTCCATTTGTATGTAGGTTGGGTTGCATGGCTGCGACACGGCCCTATTACATGCATGGCCATCGGAAAGAATATATACAAATTAGTTTTCCCAAATAAGTAATGAAATAATGTTTAAACTACTTTTCATACAATGGTGAATGTGTTTTCATTTTGATGTAATAGTATGATCTTGTTCAAGGCCTACATGTTTCCAGATCACTTTCAACATGGATCGCATTTACGCAGTATCAATGGCGTTTATTTCACTGTCGAATCATTTTTCTTATGTTGATAACTGCTCCACCATTTGAAAGTGTACCGGTAGTTGACAAGGAACGCGTTTGGCGGTTTGTTTCAGCTTTTCTGTGTTCAGCCATATACTTGATTTACCTGCACCTAACCCAAGACTGCACACTCTTCTGTTTCCTAATTTGGTCTGCGAGTATCTAGTGCTGCAACTGATCCTCAAAGTTCGGTTCGGTTGCGGTTCAATTTTTTTTCTCTCCGAACTTCAGTTCGGTTCGACTTCAGAAGTGCATACATAATACATGTCCATGGTACAATAATAGGGATACAATGAAAAGCATATACATTGTACATGTTGGCCATTCCCCTTTTTGAACAAACACGTGTGTACTGCGCACGTCTGACAGAAAAAGGCACTGCAATTTCCACATGCTATACCACACAAGTTGAAGAAGGAATCTCATTTTTGTTGTGTTTATGATGTTAAGAAATGAACAACGTAAATTGCTACATGTTTACCCCATACCTATCGCAGCCTTCAGACTATCCCAGCCCAGCCCGGCAAACTATGATAAAAATGTTCCCACACTTGCTGATTTGTTTTCCTGACGAGTTCCATTCGAGCATGCACTGAAAAATTGTTGTGATGTGTTCATTACTTTTCGTTGAAATTGGAAAAATAGGCCTGGCTACGTGCACTTTTTAAAGTTGGAACACTAACGTTTGCGATATCTGTCAATCTTTTCAAGACTCATGAATATTAATATGGTTCTTATTCATTATGGTATGCAGTATAATGTTGGAGAAAAGCCTCCTTCACCAGTTATTAAATGATAAATATCAGCCTTTTTGTCGGCTTCCATACCGAGTCCCACGCCAAAACACATTGAGTGACACTAATGAATATGCTAATCTACCATACTCGGTCAACCGTTGCGCTTTGCTGAACAATGCACGTCGGTTGTGTCGTCACAAAATCCTTGTCAAAATTTTCCACGGAGATGATTCCGAGCATGCCCTGATGAGCACCAAAAACTTGTCTCATGGCAATAATTGCTGATTAGTTTTGTTCTTTTACTGTGCCAAACTTATGAAATCATAATTATTTTTAGCAACAAGCTGACAAGTACTACCGTAAAAAAATAACAACTTTTCAATTTGCAACTGCCATGAATATTCATTCTGTGGACGGATCCATTAATTTTGTAAAGGGGTGTTTCACCCTCTTTTGGGAGATTACATCCTTTTTCGTATACATTCTCTACGAAAAAAATATATTGTGAAAATTATGAACTTACTCTGAACATGAGAAAGGTTTCAGACTCCATAAAAAGGTTTTTTTATTTTGACACGGTGAAAAAAATGAAAATACTGGTAAATTTTGCCGAGGAAAGCACACCCTTCACCGCAATTGGTTTGGTCCAAACTTACTACATTGTGTACGTCACGCTGGAACACGGCGCAGCAGCTGGGCCAGATACTGACCACGCTGGATGAATTACATGCAAAGAGCACGCTTTTCATTCAGAAAATCGCAAGGTACGTACCATTTTTTCAAAGCGTATCGGCCCAATATGCCTTGCTAGAACACTGCAAATAATGAAGATGAATGCGGTGACTTGTCAACACGGTAAATCCAAACATCCATGGGCTTTAATTTTGTACTTACATTGCAAGCATTAGCATTCCTGGCGCTAGCAACAAATACTTGCCGAACTCTTCCGAACCAACATTTGGGTTCGGTTCTGAAGGCCAAGTTCTGCTATTTTTAGTTCGGTTTCGGTAGTTCGGCTGCAGCACTAAAAAAAGCGAAACCCAAATGTTGGGACCATTGTTTTAATGAAGTTCTGCATATAGCACTTTCTAAATCTAGGATACAAAAGCCCAATTCATTTATGCTTTCTTTTAGTACAAGAATCATTCAAATCACTCATGAACTTTTCAAGTTACAGAATTTTAAACAGAACCACCATTTTGAAGTTCTGTCCACGGATCACACGAAGGTAAGTGTTCTTTCAACAAAACAAAAACAAATCACATAGGGATGTGTGTGAATTGTTCTCGCTTTGCTGAAAGAACACACACCTTTTTTTGTGAATGATCTGTGGACAGAACTTTAAAACGGACATGAGCGATTTGAATGATTCTTATACTAAAAGAAAGCTTATGAATTGGGCTTTCATATCCTAGATTTTGAAAGTGCTACATGTAGAACTTTAAACAATAGTCCTGACATTTTGGTTTTGCTTTTTTTTTATTCACCCTGTACACTGCATTAATATCTACAATAATGATAGAACGTAATGCATGTACTGAATACTACAGCATAAATAACTTATTATATTACATTGGAAATAAGAATATTCTTTAGGTACTTTTTAATACCATGCATACTTCTGTACAGTAAGGTACTGGTGTGATTTTATTCCAGAGCAGTGGGCCTTGATGTCGAAAAATTTTAATAAGTAAAGTAGTTCTTGCTTTCCCAATGTGAAGCTTAGCTGCTGATCTGGTATTATGTAAGTGGACCTCCGTATTCCTCTGAGTCAATGATTCAATTTCCCAGGGCAGAAGATTATTTTCAAATTTAAACATTTGTACCCAGGTGATATTTGTATAAATTAAAAATTGTGAGCTTTTGAGTTTCTTGAAGAGAGGCCAGTGTGATCTCTAGGACAGAACTTTGTGATAACACGTAGCGATTTCTTTTGTAATATTAGTAAATTCATAACAGTTACATGTATCTGAGAATTACCCGACTAACAATCCATACGGAGGATGGGGTAGAACTAGGGTGTTATAAATGGAAAATCGCCCATGGGGAATGGGAAATGCTACTCAACAGTTACGATCATCCTTGTTCCATGACGCAGTATTTGTGTGGAAATGCCAGCTGGTGTGCACGTTCAGCGCTGCGCGTAGCGCATATTGTTCCAAAGACCAGCACTACAGATTTGGGTTCAAAGATTTTCGTGAAGGGGTGGTTTGGAAGAGAGAAATACATTTTCCACAAATTTTGTACTGAAATAAAAGTTCAAATATATCAAATGACAAGGATCTACATGTATACTAGGCTTGGGCGAATCCACGCCGGAATCGAATAGAATCGACCCCAACCTCGGAATCGGAATCGTGATTCCACTTTTTTGAGGAATCGATTCTCTGATGTAGCCGATTCCAGTTCCCCGAGCGTCGATTCCAGTCTTCGCGCCTTCAAAGAACATCCGATTCTTTAACAAAACGGCCCCTTTACCGTTTTAAAAGAAGGCAGTGCGTCAAAGACAAACTGATAGTACATCTCTCTGATGAAGCCGTCCTCTTACATAAAGCTTTAACAGCTCCACGGCCTATTAAATATCACAAAGTGAGCTATTTTATTTGTGTAATACAAAGGCAGCCGGTGCCGCGCCGGAACGGAATATTTGTCGGCGTGGCCGCGCCTGACTGCTGCTACACATTTTCTCACGAATCATTTTCTTTCTTTGACGTCAACTTTTCATTTGTCTGAGCAAATCAGGTTTCCTATCATCACAGGAATTTTTCACAGCCACTGGAAACGGTATGCAGCTCCCGAAAATTTGAAAAGATTGTTGTAAAATCCAGGAAGAAAAAATGAGTTTGTCTCGGATTATTTTGTCCTTCCCCATCAAAAACCAATACAGTCCTGCACTTACGTTGTTTGAAGCAACCGGCAAGTGGCTATGAACTGCAAAGTTCCACATGCATACGAGGTTTCCATAAAAGCATTTCATACCTAAAAACTGCTGTGAATAAAACACCAGACGAGCGTAAGCGAGGGGAAGATCTTGGGTGCCCATGTACTGTATAATGTGGAGCGGAGCCGTCATGTGTTTTGACAATCAAGCTGTATTTCTCATCTCGGGGATTCCCTGTGTAGATGAGCACGTGCTGAGGGCCTGTGTATGCTGTCATTTGATTGGCTTGGTCTCGTTTTCCCCTGTCACGACCCAACCACGTGATGTTTTTATGTGCATATCGTTCCACGAGGGCGTGGTTTGATTTTATAAATTTTGCTTGTGCAATCGCAATCGCAGTTCACTTGCTATGACTGACACAATCTTGTAAAATAGTTGGACTGGTGGATCGGCAAAAGATCGGGGAAAATAAATTAAAATATTCAAAATATTCCTGTAAATTTCGTAGGTACATGTATATATGGATTCATTGGCAATGTCCCAACTTCTGAAGCTACATTCAAAAGTCCAAGAGCGGCAAAGTCAAGTCGCATCGACATCAAAAGTTTCCAGGGTTCGTACGCGAATGAGAACTGCGTAGTAGAAAATTGTGTTTTTATGAATGGCATGAAGTGGCTGGTACTTGGCGATCAATCGTGAATGTAGTGTTGAATCATTTACCAGCGATCCATGCCGTGATTACGTGACCATCAAAAATGAAATCGCGCGGAGAAATTCTATGTATTCCGATATGATTATCACGCTGCCAAATAAAATGTTGATTGTACATAAAAAAAAATATGGAACTAAGAGAAAACAACAATATTATGTTTGGCGACCCTTTCGATGGAAAATGTCAATTTTTCAGGGTGATTTCCACAATATAACTGTTTTGATTGATAGTGCCGAACTTAGGTGAGCTCTGATTTTGATCTTGCGTGTTTTCCGCAGGGGAAACAAAAGTTGTCGAACATTTATTTTATTGTGTTCCCTGCCCAAAACGTGACTTTTGTTTAATAATTAAATGACTATAAGAAAGCCATTACACCCACAATGACCTCATTATTTGCGTTTTTATTGTAATGTGTTTGTTTGTTTTGTTGTGTTTTTCTGATTTTTTTTTTTTTTTTTTTTTTTTTTTTCACAAATTATGGAATCGCGATTCCCAGACGGAATCGGAATCGATTCCAAAAATGCTGGATTCGCCCAAGCCTAATGTATACAGCCACGTGGTTGCAAAGGGCGATTTCTAAAGGTTATGTAACCTTTTATTTTGAATGAAACTACATGTTCACCTTGGTGGCGAAATCTTTGAAAATGCAACTTTCAGGGTTTATTTGCCTTATAATGATCCAAGTATGTGCTAAAAATTGTTGTGATATGTTCTTTACTTTTCATTGAAATTGGAAAAATAGACCTGGCTACGTGCATATTTGAAAGCTGTAACACTGGCGTTAGCAATGTCTGTCAATCTTTTCAAGCCTCACAAATATTAATACGGTTCCTATCCATTATGGTGTGCAGTAAAAATTTGTGTAAAAGCCTCCTTCACGAGTCATTAATTGATAAATATCACCCTTTTTGCCGGCTTCCATTGGTCGATACCGAGACCCATGCCAAGTCATGCCCAGTGACACCAATGATGCTAATATGCGATCGTCCATTGTGTTGCCGGACCGAAATTGGTCAACCATAGTGCCTACGGAGCTACAAGAAAACCATACACGTGGGTTTAGTCGGCTAAAATTTCGAGTCAAAATTTTCCTTAGCGATGGTTCAATGTGTAACGCAAGCGTTAGCAACAACAAATTAAGCTGAAATTCGGAATATACTTAGATGATATAAGTGTCTAACTACTCGTAAAATTACAATTTGAGTAGATTCCTAGAAATTGATATAATACATAGATTTGGGGAAGTTTTCAAACGACTTCTTCCAGATTTGAAGGTCAGCTTTACCAGTAACCAGTATTAACGTTTCAGCATCGACATTAGTTTAGAATTTCTTTTTCCGCTATATTTTAACATTTCAATCTATTGAGCATATACAATGTATTCTGAGAAACACAACGTTCAAAATGCCATGTTTTTGGGGGTGCATGAATTTCACTGCTCCGTTGTAGAGTAGGAAACCGGATTAGCTTTGCCTAACAACAGCATGATGCTTTGTGCAACCACATGCAACCACATGACATGCATGATGCGCACATGTGCAACCAGATGGCTGATATATGTCAGTTATTTAAATGTCCCATTTTGTACTTGGTACAAGTCACATTTTGTACATGTACATGTCCCATTTTGTACATGTACATGTACATTTTGTACATGCCCCATTTTGTACATGTCCCTAACACTTCTACATATTCCACACCTCAAACCTTTTGCACTCGAAATTATGAGTAAACCTGGCTGAGCTCCCGGACAATATAATTGCACAATGTTTGCAAACATTTTGCAACAAAATAAAAATCGCTGGTGGAACCTGCATGGATGGAATTGGAAAGGTTCAAAAGTGTAACTCTTTCACTTTCTCTAAAACAACAAATTTGTCCCAAAATATCTTGAAACAGTCAGGATCACCGAACAAGTACAGAGAGCGTAGAAAAAGTTTAAGACTCTTAACACATTTCACAAGGCTATTTACTAACTTTAATCACTCCATTTTGGCCAAACACTTTGCGAAGCCTCACGAATTCTACATATGGTCAGCGAGAGTCAATGCACTGCAAATAAAACTCTGCCATGTATCATTGCCGGGTGCACATTGACTGCTCATACTCATGGAAATGTACTCATACTCTAATCTTCAAAATGTATTCGAACACTGACTTACCGTACACGTTCCATTTTGTTCGAGTGATTTACAAATGTGAACTCACCTCACCATTAATATTGGCTAGAGCAACTAAATCCATACGAGGTGACCAACACAGTAGCAACACCTCTGATGACAAACTACGTTCCTCAAGCTGCCTGAATGCATTCAGCATAGTGTCTAGGTGCAGATAATTATACTGGCAAATTCAAAGCAGGCAACTCTTCTTCAGGATCTTCCTACTGGATTTGACTGATGAAGTACTCTCCTGAAATCAGTGAAAGTACAATAGGGGAAACAGGTTTATACATGTACATGTAATACAACATCTAATTACATAACAGATAACTATCTGATACTAAATAGTGCTTGAGATTGTGACATGTTGGATTAACGCACCCATGTGTTGATATCCTTACTGCATATATACATGTAGGTCCCATAGATACATTCTAGAGGGGGGAGCCCTGTTTGGGTCTAAGTTAAAGGTCAGACCAAGGTTAAGAAAACTGTAGAATGACCAATGTTCTCAATATGTGGGCTTCCAGAAGTACGGCTACGTCTATTGTCAGCGCGTCCCCGCGTATTTTCAATGGGCCCGGACCTAGACCTAGCTCTAGACAGTTGATTCGGATGCAGCCTTAGTACGCAATAGTGGTAGACTAGTCCGAGTAACTTGGACCCAACTTATCGCCTTTTTAACATTTGGACATGGTCTGGCGATTGTAGGGTCCAAGCTAAACCGCATCAGTCGGGTTGACACAATTTTGTCCTTGACCCAAAAACCCAACATTGCCCAACAAAAACTTAAGATGTCACCCTCAAATGACCTACAAATTACTAGATACGCCACCTGAGGTACAAGTAGACATCAATGATTATGGTTGTACTGAAGTTTACTTACGATCCGGATGAAAAGTGAAATTTCCCGTTCAATTCCAAGAGCTCCCCTCGCAATCGTTAACATGTTAAATTTCTGACTCGTGTTAATGTTTGAACGACGCGATGTGGTCTTCATGCCCAGCGTACACTTGATGGTCCCCGTATCCCGAGTGCAATTCTGTTACTGAGCGCGATGCATCGATTACGATAATGAGAAGACTGGATCACGTTTGTAAACTTAAGGGCATTTTGAGCGGTAAAAGGGAGTCGGGAACTACCGGTATAGCTTGAACTGGTTTCTGCCCATAAAAGCTGCCCTAGTTCCCGACTCCCTAATATCGTTCGAAATGTACTTGTGATTACAAACAAGATCCAGTCTACTCATTATCATAATCGATGCATCGGGCTTAGGTAACTGAATCGCACTCGGGATACAGGGACCATCGAATGTACGCTGGGCATAATGACCACATCGCATCGTTCAAACATTAACACGAGTCGGAAATTTAACGTGTTCACAATCGCGAGGGGAGCTCTCAGAATTGAACGGGAAATTTTACTTTTGTCAGGATCGTAAGTAAAGTACAACCATCATCGATGTCTACTTGTACCTCAGGTGGCGTATCTAGTAATTTGTAGGCCATTTTGAGGGTGAAATCTGATGTTTTTGTTGGGCAATGTTGGGTTTTTGGGTCAAGGACAAAATTGTGTTGACCGACTGATGCGGTTTAGCTTGGACCCTATTATTGCCAGACCAAGTCCGAATGTTAAAAAGGCGATAAGTTGGGTCCAAGTTACTCGGACTAGTGGTAGACTTGAGTCACCACAATCGGTTGGACTCCGTTGTGTATGTTGTGCACTTTCTTGTCATTTGCGCAATCATAAGAATGTGCATGCGCATTCTTATGATTGCGCAACTGGATGATCTTGCGCAATCTTCGAGAAAACAAATCTTCCAGATTGAGCGCACATTCTTAAGAATGCGCAACAAGAGAAGCGATCTTTTGAATGCGGAGAACCGGCTGCGCTTGGCAAGTCTAGCTGCATCCTCGTTCACTGATTAATTCTTGGGCTGTTCTTAAATAATTATACTGTGGCAATGCAAGTTCACTAAGAAAAAGATATAACGATGTAAAGTAGAGATGAAAGTATTATGCGTATTAAGGGAAAATAGTAAGAGACAGAACAGTTTGGTGGAAAGAATTGTAACGTGTTCCACATGATCATGTGTTCTGCCCAGCATGCATACATGTACATGTATGGTGCAGGGACTTGCAACTTGTCTAGACTAAACGAAGCACTTCCCAGACTAGTTCCATGTCCAACTGTCTCCCCCCCCCCCCCCATGGGAAGTTTTGTTATAACGTAGGTCCTACATTTTTACAAAACTTCCCATGGGGGGGGGGGACAGAAAAAACAACAATAGTAACACTTTAACAGCTTTAATTGAATTCAAATTATCGTATTGCAATGGGTACAGAAGCATAGGTCATTTTCTTTTCTTGTGATATGATTATTTCCCCTTGGCCTTTAACCTCTAATATGTTTAATTTAACATTATGCCGTGCAGTGTTTGTTAAGATTTGGCAAAATTCATAAATTGCGCAAGTAATTTTCCCACGCAATCTTAAGAATGAGCGCTCATTCTACAGATTGCGTGCTCACTCTTAAGAATGCACACTCGTTTTTAAGAATGCGCACTCATTCTTAAGATAGCGCAAATTGCAAGAAAGCGCACATGTACACGCAGTTGTAATGCAATGAGGAAGTCGTCTTACTATGGAGCTAGGACCTAGCCCAGGTTGGACGACGTCTTCATTGCATTACGACTGACGTCCATGGTATAAAATGTACCACCATAGGGGAAAAAATAAGACATTTTTTGCATATTTTTACCTGACGGAGGATGCTGAAATTTCGCTTACATATTCCTTGTGCCCAGAATTGTGCTTGCGCTGGGTTTAGAAAAGGAAAATATGTCCGCGGGCGGCGTGTTTACCGAAAATAAAGCGCAAGTTCTACGCTTACGTTGAAAACATTTTCAAAACGAACTCCCCGCGTGAAGACGTACAAGTGCGTGCCATTTGCTGCCACTTGCTGCCGTCATGCTAGGTGCATAGATATAGAATAAAACGACTAGATCGGCAGCGCGTGCATACGCGCCATAGAGTGTGCACAAATTTGCCCGTTCCATCATGGACGCTCTACACGCAATAGTGCATGGGGTAAAACGTGCGTTACGCGCACCTACATTCCCGTAGGTTTGTGCACAAACCAGGCGCGGATCTAGAGGGGGGTTTTGGGGGTCAACCCCCCCCCCCCCCCTCCAGCTCTGTCCAAAAAAAAAATTCTCATACAAATTCCTAAAAAATAAGTCGAACCCCCCCCCCCCCCTTGCTGTGACACCCCCAAAAAAATGATACTGGTCTAATGTCCGCCTGTTCAAAATACGTTACACCATTCTGTAATGAGTGTTAATAATCGTCGAATTTGAACAGTGCCCCCTATTAAAATTGGTACCAGCCCCCCCCCCCCCCCCCCCCCCCCCCATCCTGGTACTTCACAGAGCGCCAAAGATTTTTGAATGACAGGCAACAGCAGCCATGCGCTTTGCCAAAGTTGACGCACGCTCAGTAGATGATTAAAGCTCTTGTCTGGTTCCCTGACCCCATTGGCCTTTTGACTATAATTAGGGTGGCTGGGAAACAGTCTGGTAAATATCACAGACGCCATGCTTTTTCAAAACTGTCAAAGGCGGATCCAGGGGGGCGGGCCAAAGGGGGCCATGGCCCCCCCCCCAAAAAAAAACCAACGAATCAATTATTATTATTTTTTTTTTAGTGACTGCGCAATAAAGGCAGGCAATGAGTACACCACCATATTTTCCTCAAAAAAACATTGGTTAAAGTGGTCAGAAATTGCCTCAGATCGCACCACAGAGTATCTAGAATCCAAATTTTTTACCCCACGCCGTATTTTTTTTGTGGACATACTTTTTGGGGACCAACATTTTTTGCCCCCCGCCCCCAAATTGTGTTCTGGATCCGCCCTTGAAAACTGTCTGCATTCTTTGACGAATTAGGCCTACCATGATTGTTGGATAACTAGACCTCTGAAGTGAAGGTACCGATTATTTTAACGATTTTGTGCTATTTAGCAGTCATACTATAGCTGGGTTGATAATTAGCAACGGGACCCTCCGTACTTATACCACATGTGGGATGTGTGACGTTAAAATTAAATATGGAGGTAGTCCAGTATTTCCGTCACATTGTAATTTATGGGACTAAACAGTCATGACAGTCGAGTGCGTCGAAATAGGACCTCTTTTGGGGGGTTTTTTGGGATGGGGGTCTGACGAGAAGAACTAGGCCCCAGTATCATCAGTCCACGTGTACAAAGTAATGCCTGCTGGGCGCATCCATGTTTGTGCACAAACCTATGGAGACATAGAAATAGCCGGACTTGCATGGAGGGGTCACGTGCTGGAGGAAAGATACAAATAATAATAACATGGTGCACAAAGCGCATAAACGGCGTTACGTTCGTCACGGTTTCGCGCACAGTGCACCATGCATCGCTAACGCGTGTGCGCATCGCGTAAATACTTGTTGCGCATTTCTAGCTTCGCATGCGTTGAGCTAGGTCACATGCTGGAGGAAAGATACATTTAGCGCCAATAGGCCTTACTTTACGTTAATTTGTTGCGCGTCCACGAGAGACAACAAAAAAATGGTGGAGTTTTATCGCACAGTGAATGGGCGCGTGTGGACGTGCTGCCGATCTAGTCTTTTTATTCTATAGGATGTTCTACAAACACGCACATGAATTCAAAATGTCTGCGCCCAGGACGGCTTCAAAGCATCTCCGCGCGCAGAATGACGAGTTAGCGCTTTAATAATTAGGCCTATCCACTCCGTTCACAAGCACCCCCTCACCGGCAAAGGAAGTACAGTTGAGGGTGACCGACTGACGCCATCTTGCCTGACTGCAATTCATTTGCCGCGAAGCGCAGCGCGGCCACTGCGTGTAAATAGAACAAATCCCCTGGTGTACGTGCGTCACACACAAGGAACGGTGCGCGTCAACCAGCGAAATGTCCCGCCCAATATGGGACGTCGTTGTTAGGTAAAAGGGCGCCCTCTTTTGGTACTGGTAGCGCACGAAGCTCATCATAGCCTAAGCCCTAGCCCCATATCCATGATAAATGTGGCCTATTTACTGGACTGCCTCCGTAAACATAGGCCACACATCCACATGTACAAAAATCGTGTCGACTTTGCCAAATTTTGATTTTCACATTAAGGCTTAGTTTGTAGGGTTTTTTTGCTTTAGAAGCATACTCACCCTCTTTGGGCTAATCAGAAAGTGCTGCCTTTTTCAGATGTATATTTTTCGTGAAATTTTCAGATTCATTTTTACACGTTTGCGTATCAAAATTTCAACATGAAATTTAACAAAAATTAGACATCTGAAAAAGGCAGCACTTTCTGACTAGCCTATAAAGTGGGTGAGTATGCTTCTAAAGCAAAAAAATCCTACAAACTAAGCCTAAATGTGAAAATCAAACTTTGGCAAAGCTTGCAAAGTCGACACGATTTGTGTACATGTGGACGTGTGGCCTATGTTTACGGAGGCAGTCCAGTAAATAGGCCACATTTATGGGGCTACCTAAGCCCTAGTTTCTAGGCCTGGCATTATGGTTTTGACGCACTCGCATTCAATTTGCGTTGGACAACGCGCGCGCGTTGCAAGCGTTTATCTGCGTCAATCATGGTGACTCAAGGATACTCACATTTATTTTGTGCGCAGCCTCTTCAGTTTGGTGGATTCATTGCACTAGTGACTTCGCCATCTGATTTCTATGATACTTTTGGAGCTAGGCATATCCCCGCGTGGTTAACCTATCTCGTGGATGCAGGAAACAAGATCGGACATTCCGCTGAAAAAAGTGAAACAGGAAGTGGTTGCTCATGGGAAAGGGCGTCCTCAGCGTTGGATAGGTAAAAGCATATTCGCTATGCACTCATCGTAAAACAAGCCATGCACTCAAACGTCTTTCTTAAGGGAATGTGTGCTCGAGAGGTTTTAATCACTCTGTTTAAGACCGCTTAGAGTCTGGGTGCTGATAATTACCCGAGCCGGAGGCGAGGGTAATTATCAGCACCCAGACTCTAAGCGGTCTTAAACAGAGTGATTAATACCGACCGAGCACATATTTATTCCCATTCATAAATGCCTTTTCGGTCAAAAAAATATAGTATTTCGGTCAAAAATCCCGATTTTGTTCAACAAGTTCACTTCATGCTTTTTTAAACATCCCTCTAGCTAAATAATGGAGTGTTCGGCTGGCGATTAAGATGTAAACAACCCTTTTATGGAGATTGACGCGCGCGTGGCATGTTCTGTGCGTTGTCGCGCAGAACGCACCTGGGGCGTTGCCTTTTGAATTTAGAACTATAAAATTCTGACTCACTGGTAGTGTTGCGCATGCCTACGTGAGGACTGTGAACGTTCAACCAATAAAACGGTAAAGAGGCACTGGATTTTTAGGAGTCCACATTTTATGTGACACTGGAAAAGTGTTTAAGACCAGCTAGCCATGTCTTTATCATCCGTTTAAGACCGGCCACGTGACGGGCTCTCGACCAATAGGAATGGCTAAACTGTCTGAGGTATTTATGAATGGTAGATCATGTAGATAATTATGTACCATTTTAAAGTAGTCTATTTGTCTGATTAATAAAATAATAGCAACCACTCATGTGATTCGTGTCTGTTCCTTCATCGTCTGTTCAGTCTGTCCAGGCCCGGATTACCTAATAGGCACAGTATCTGAGGCACTTGTGCCTACGAAAAATTCGGGGGCCTACGACAAATTTGGGGGCCTACGAAAATACTGCAGTGTGCCGTAAAACACACAAATATAGGCCTACCCACGCACACAAGCGTTCATCTGCCTATAATCGGGGACCTATTGTCCCTCTTTCAGTGTTTGTACTTTTTAAGAAGACCTCCCATATTTTTGTACACGATCGCCAAACTGGGACCCTTCGGGAATTGGGGACACTATTGTACGGTGGCTCGTATTCGCCAATTTGTTGCGCATGTCCTTTTTTCTTAAGGCGTTATATCGCCGTACTATGGCGTTATATCGCCGTACTATGGCGATATAACGCCGTATTTTATTGCGTTATAACGCCGTATTTTACTGCGTTATATCGCCGTATTTTATTGCGTTATATCGCCGTACGATGGCGTTATATCGCCGTACTATGGCGTTATATCGCCATACTCTTAATGCCGAAAATCAACAGTGAAGTCGCCATTTTGTAATGCAACACTACGAAAGCCCATTAGCGCCACTATGTATATATGTTACAGATTATTTAATTCGTTATTACGGATTATTTAATTCGTTATTACGGATTCTTAATTCGTTATTACGGATTCTTAATTCGTTATTACGGATTATTTAATTCGTTATTACGGATTATTAATTCGTTATTACGGATTGATTTTTTTAAGGGGGGGGGGGGCAAAGCATATTTCTCAACCGTTTATTCTCTATTTATTTTTTAGAGGGGACAGGGTCATCCCCCCAAACCCATTAAATTTAAAGCAATATTACATTGTGCCACTTTTTCTTTCCTTTTTCTCTTTGTTTCCCTTTGGGTCTGAATTAATAATCATGAGAGTAGAATAATAAAAGTTGCAGTAGCCATCCTTTGCACTTCACGAAAAGCTGGCGTTTTGAAGAATATAAATGATAAATAGTGATAAGTTTGTATACAAAGTTAATTGACCCATCCCAGGGTACCAGATGCCTGATATGCTCCTCCCACATCTGAAATTATTTGAATGGAAACTCAAATATCTGTAGTACATGTGTGAAGTTTCAATTCAACCTGTTAAAATGATTTGTTGTCATGGGCGGGGCCTAACCAGGTGTGAGTGGGGAATGGGAGTACACGATCTACCATTCATCTACTTGTCTAAAAATGATACAGAGTCTGATTCTGTTTGTGAAAATGTGCTAGATTCATGAACAATACCAATTTTACAAGTTATTACTCAAAATTTACCATATTTGGAGCGCTACTGCACAAAGGATATACAACAACCCAAAATGTTCTCACCAGATATGAAAAGACCAATGTCTGAACTAACCATACCCGAAGGGAAATTATTCTGAATGCACTGGCAAGTGCCATTGTGGAGGGATAAAAATGGGGTAAAAATGCAATTTTGCTAGTTTTAAAAACATGCTGTATTATAGGGCCTGAAAATAATGTAAAGGAGATTTTTCAGAAGTGTTTCTATTTTTTTCTTGCAAGGGTAAGGATGATACTTTGTCGTGATATAGTTACTTTTGTTACATTACCTCGCAGTTTGGCTTGATGACCTTTGAAAATAACGCAAAAAATGAATTTTTGCTCCCAAAGTCCTTTCATCCCTCGAAGTTTTAAAAAATTCGATTTTTTGAGCGTGGACATTTATATGAAGTATTTACACGAAACTATTCTTAATAATCCGTAATAACGAATTAAATAATCCTTAATAACGAATTAATAATCCGTAATAACAAATTAAATAATCCGTAATAACGAATTAATAATCCGTAATAACGAATTAATAATCCGTAATAACGAATTAAATAGTCTGTAACATATATACTTCCATTCGCGCTAATGGGCTTTCATAAGCTTTCGTAGTAACCAAATGGTATAACGCAAACAAATACGGCGTTACAACGCAATTAAATACGGCGATATAACGCAAAACTACGGCGATATAACGCCATAGTAAGGCGATATAACGCAGTAGTATAGCGATATATCGCCATAGTACGGCGATATAACGCAATAAAATACGGCGATAAAACGCAATAAAATACGGCGTTATAACGCAATAAAATACGGCGTTATAACGCAATAGTACGGCGTTATAACGCAATAGTACGGCGATATAAACGCAATAGTACGGCGATATAACGCCATAAGGAAAAGGGACTTGCGCAGCAAATTGGCGAATATGAGTCACCGTACTATTGTCCTCTATCGTTCAACTACTGTCCTCTATTGAATGCAGAAACAAACTCTCACACACAGGGGTTTGTTTTTGGTGTAAATCGAGGAGTCTATTGTTCCTCTTCCCTTTTTCTTTGTTCATACTCTATCTCGATTTTGTGCCCGTCCTCAATTATTCATCGATGATGTTGCACGTGTGTGTCCTCGAATTACACCATAAACACGCTGCCTGGGCCATACACACGTGGCAAAAGGTTGGTTTTTTTTTTAAACTTGAAGGTTTACATAATTTTCGATCTCACCAACTTACGCTGTACAGTATGTGGTCATAGGCCCTATAAAATTCACGTGTAAAGTCTGTTGTTCTGAAACACGGTGCCAACCATAGGCGTGGGAACGGGGAGACACGCGTCCCCACCCCAACTATTTTCATCCCCGAGTATAAATCTGTGGCCTACATTTGATTCTATAGCTCCAAATACCTAATTCAATGACTCCAAACTCGAAAATGAGGTTTAAAAGATGTAACTAATTTGGTTAAAAGTGGTCAGAAATTGCCACAGATCGCACCACTGTGAGCGTCTAAAATCCAATTTGTTTTCGGCAAGCCCCGGCGAACCACACGCAGTTTAGGCTTCGCACTCGCATATGCTGATCAAGATACACAAGTATGTACCATCTCAACAAGTTTGAGAAGCGATTGATGCCGTTGCCTTTGGTGCCAATGCAGGCTTTTAGGGCAAAGACCAATACCAGTTTGGCATGGCTTGATTTGTACAGTACTTTCTAGTTTCTACCGACATTCATAAATACCTCAGACAGTTTAGCTATTCCTATTGGTCGAGAGCCCGTCACGTGGCCGGTCTTAAACGGATGATAAAGACATGGCTAGCTGATCTTAAACACTTTTTCAGTGTCACAATAAAATGTGGACTCCTAAAAATCCAGTGCCTCTTACCGTTTCATTGGTTGAACGTAAACAATCCTCACGTAGGCATGCGCAACACTACCAGCGAGTCAGAATTTTATAGTTCTAAATTCAAAAGGCAACGCTTTAGGTGCGTTGTGCGCGACATCGCGCTGAACATGCTACGCGCGCGTCAATCTCCTTAAAAGGGTTGTTTACATCTTACTCGCCAGCTGAACACTCCATTATTTTGCTAAAGGGATGTTTCAAAAAGCATGAAGTGAACTTGTTGAACAAAATCGGGATTTTTTGAACAAATTATTTGATTCTTGTACCGAAACGGTATTTATGAATGGGAATAAATATGTGCTCGGTCGGTATTTATCACTCTGTTTAAGACCACTTAGAGTCTGGGTTCTGATAATTACCCTCGCCTCCGGCTCGGGTAATTATCAGAACCCAGACTCTAAGTGGTCTTAAACAGAGTGATAAAAACCTCCGGAGCACACATTTATTCCCTTATTAATAGCATCAACATTTTGGTGCCGATGTGTTACAACTGATAATGTAGTAACCAACGGATAATGTATCACCAACCGATAATGTATCACAAATTGACTGATACTGTATCACTAACCGATAATGTAGCAAAAATTGACTGATAGTGTAGTAGAATTTGTATCCGATAATGTATCACGTGTCGACGGATAATGTAACTACAAAATAACTGTATCCGATAATGTATACGGAACGGATACTGTATCAACCGATATACCCAAAATCAATGATAATGTATCAAAAATCAACCGATAATGTATCAGTACGGGGAAAAGGTGTACACAAATGTTTGTTTTATGTCCTATATATTCCGCCCCACTTTTTGACAAGGGGGTCTGGGCTATTGGATCACCCCACCCCCATTTTTGGGTATTTAGAGAAAAAAGGGCAGATTTTGAGGTGTTTTTCAAACTTTCCAACCGCCGAAATGTATCAAATAGTACTGAGAAAGGGAGAAAAAGCACAAAAAAGCTTGAAATGCGCTGATACATCTGTATCATGAACAGCGCCCCCAGTGTCATGTGGTCTCCAGCCCCCCCCCCCCCCCCCTCGGTTTTTGATTTTACCATTGAGCTATGGGCTCCGTGCACAAGTGCCCCTTCAACGGCCAGAAACGGAGAGTTGGGGGAGGACCTAGACTGGTCCCGGTCCATCTACTGCGTATTTTGAATGATGCAAAGTTATTAGGGGAGGGAATAGTCTGTGAGACCATCGCAAGTTCGGTTGAACGTATGCGCGCGCCGACGTTGCCTGACAATCATGCGAAGACGCTGCGGCTAATAACCTTGGCACATTCTGGAAGAGGCGTTGAACTTTGCGCGCGTACCAGTACAATACAGTTCGCATATGCTGTGTCCCGTCCATTGATCTCCATACGGAGATCAATGGTCCCGTGCGTCCATGCATGGTGCTCTCAAAAGTGGTAAAACGCGCCCTCTTGGTTAAAGCACGGAGCCAATACGGAGGCCAAGTGTCCTGAGAAAAGAACTTGTCCACATTTCGGCGCGGATGTCACGAATGCAGTTAACCCCCCCCCCCCCCCCCCCCGACATCAAAAGCTGGATACGCCACTAGCTTAGGCCCACTTGGAAGTAGGGCGTCTCCAAACCAGAGCAACTCCCTCCCAAATTCACAAAAAAATATTCTTAATGATAAACTTTCCCGAGTGGGGGACTTATCATAGCAAAGACACTTATTAGACTTTAATTAATTTGCAATATTGGTTACTACATTATCAGTTGTAACATAGTAACCAACGGATAACGTATCACCAACCGATAATGTATCACAAATTGACCGATATTGTATCACTAACCGATAATGTAGCAAAAATAGACAGATAGTGTACTAAATTTTGTATCCGATAATGTATCACGTGTCGACGGATAATGTAACTACAAAATAACTGTATCCGATAATGTATCACCACGGAACGGATACTGTATCAACCGATAAAGTATCAAAAATCAACCGATAACGATCTGTATGGGGAAAAGGTGTAAACGAATGTTTGTTTTATGTCCTAGTTTTTTTTTACTGGGGAGGGGGGTCTGGGCTATTGGACCCCCCCCCCCATTATTTCGTATTTAGAGGGGGAAAAAGGCAGATTTTGAGGTATTTTTCAAACTTTCCAGGGAGAAAAGGCACAAAAAGCTTGAAATGCGCTGATACTGTATCATGAACAGCGCCCCCAGTGTCATGTGGTCTCCAGCCCCCCCCCCCCTCCCCCTCAGTTTTTGATTTGACCATGGAGCTATGGGCTCCGTGCACAAGTGCCCCTTCAACGGCCAGAAAGTTAGGGGAGGACCTAGACTGGTTACCGATCCATCCACTGCGTATTTTGAATGATGCAAAGTTACTGGGGGAGGGAATAGTCAGGGAGACCATCGCAAGTTAAATTGAACGTATATGCGCGCGCCGACGTTGCCTGACGATCATGCGAAGACGCTGCGGCTAGTAGCCTTGGCACATTCTGGAAGTGGTGTGGAATTTTGCGCGCGAACCAGTACAGTGGTACGCACATGCTGAGTCCCGTCCATTGATCTCTATACGGAGATCAATGGTCCCGTGCGTCCATGGTGCTCTCAAAAGTGGTAAAACGCGCCCTCTTGGGTTGGAGCACGGAGCCCATACGGAGGCCAAGTGTCCGTTGATGATCTGATCTGATGAATTCACGCTCTGATTGGTTAGATTTTGCGTGGACAGTGACCTGCGCGTCATTAAGGTCATAACTCTGCAAGGTTTGAAACGGCCGTTAGGACTGATTCATTACTCTTTATTCCAGTTTAGAGATGTTTTTTCCCCGTTGAAAAGCGTAATAATGTAGGAAATTCTGTAAAACTTATGTGTTGTAAATTTACAATTCCTATCACTCGCTCAGGGTCCGTTTCGAATCACGAACGGTCGGATTGCAATATGCGACGCTCAAAATTTTGTCCACATGGGTCCGCAATGAAACAGAAATCACATCCGGTACGGAATATGAGCAGTTCTATGAGAATTTTCGGATAGCATTTGCGCACATTGTCTAACTGCGGTCTTGAACAGCTGCAGCCAGATGCTTTATACATAGGTCATAGGCCACTTCCTTCACAAGATTCTGTGAAGCTCATCAGAGTATCCCAGCGTCCTGTTTGCACTCGGGAACCCAAAGATTTGAAAACATTCGTCAGACAAGATTAATACTCTTATGTACCATATTTTACTGACACAACAACAAATCACCAAAGGAAAGAAAACTTGCGATAGCAAAATATCCAAAATTTTAACGATTTCCGACCCGAGTACAGTAACCTCGATCGGAACAGTGACTTCCAGACATCACAGCAAAATGATCAGCGCTGACATGCAGTTGTTCAGAGAAGCATGGAATTTGTTTTAATGTTTAAAGAAGTACATTTTCCAAATGAAGGGGTGTAAAAGCGCAAAATGTGTTTTATTAGAAAATTTCATTTCGTGAACTAAGACCGGCTGCATTGGGGCCTGGTCGGCGCGTCGGTAATAACCCTCGCCCTCGGCTCGGATATGATCAACGTCCATTCCCCGCCTGCCGGTTGAACGGACTTGTTTACTCAATCTGCCAAGCACACATTTATTCCCTTATTATTATAGCGTCAAAATGAAGGGGATCACATGAGAAGATATAATCTATTCCGTTACGAGCAATATATATACCATAGGTTCCACTTACAAATTAATTGTATTCATATAATTTATTACAAAAAGTGCAAAGTTGTCTTTCAAAGCGACTTTCAAATGTGAATCTGGTTTCCACGTACGACAACCTATCGAAGAAATCACCACTTGAGTCCTTATTGCCCGGCCTCACCCCCCCCCCCCCCCAACTACATGCACCATGGAGGTAGGATATTCCAAAACCTCAACGAGTTACCTTTCTCTGCGGGGTCTTTTATCCCCCACCCTCTTTTATTCATGTATTCGTTCATTCATGTAATACTTTAATCTTGTCTTTGTGTCTTCATTTCTTCATTTTGTCATCTTTTAACAATTTGTTTTTCTCCTTCAGTACAGTAATGAAAATCCCTCTCGCATTTTACACCCGATCTTTGTTGTATAATTTACGTGTAGATACTACGTAGCCTCACATGCGTTTTTTTGTTACCTACTCAATACTAGGGGCGCCCTTCCCTATGACGACATCGTACGCGTGTTTCATCGGCCACTGAACAAAATCATACTGAGTGTCCGATTTTTGGCCTGACTAAACTGGAAACCATCGAAATTGGCCAATCAAATGCAAGATTGTGTAAAGTCTGACCAATTAGCGTAGTGTATACAAAATTCAAGTCCGGCCGCGGCATATCTGCATGCGATATGCATGCAGCATACAGTCTAATGCGGGCGGCCGGAAAGGCGGTACGGTATATAGGGCGTCGGATCCGTTGTGTTTTTAAGACATTGATGTCATTGTATTCGACTGAAAACACAGTCTGAGTACCGGTACGGTAGACAGGTCCAGCTTGTCCAACAATTGGGGTAGGTACATTCAATCATGGAGGTAGGAATGAATGGTTTTTAATTTCCTAGGCTGCAACCTCCGTAAATCACTAAATGAAGTACAAAAACATGTCGAACTTTGTCAAATTTTGATGTTCACATTTAGCATGTAATCAGCTAGCCCCATAAATGTGGCCTATAAATTATAATGCCTCCGTAAACATAGGCCACACATCCACATGTACAAAAATCGTGTCGACTTTGCCAAATTTTGATTTTCACATTTAGGCTTAGTTGGTAGGTTTTTTTTGCTTTAGAAGCATACTCACCCTCTTTATACTATAGGCTAATCAGAAAGTGCTGCCTTTTTCAGATGTCTAATTTTTGTGAAATTTCATGTTGAAATTTTGATACGCAAACGTGTAAAAATGAATCTGGAAATTTCACGAAAAATATACATCTGAAAATGGCAGCACTTTCTGATTAGCCTATAAAGAGGGTGAGTATGCTTCTAAAGCAAAAAAACCCTACAAACTAAGCCTAAATGTGAAATTCAAAATTTGGCAAAGTCGACACGATTTTTGTACATGTGGACATGGTGGATGTGTGGCCTATGTTTACGGAGGCAGTCCAGTAAATAGGCCACATTTATGGGGCTAGTAATCAGCATGTTTAGAGGCTTAGTAATTGTCATGATTGTAGGTTTTATTTGCTTAACTGTTTTAAGCATACTCACGCTAATCAGAAAGTGCTGCCTTTTTCAGATGTCTAATTTTCGTGAAATTTCATGTTGAAATTTTGATAGGGGGCCTACGCAAACTATGACGCAAACATGTGCAAACGAATCTGGAAATTTAACGAAAAATAGACACCTGTCTGAAAAAGGCAGCGCTTTCTGATTAGCCTATAATTATAAAGAGGGTGAGTACAGTCAATTGACCAGTTCCGCAATTTGACCGGTTCCGCAATTTCGGAAAACTAGCTCTCGTTTTCAGGAAGACGAAAACGCCAAGGACTTAAACTTTGGTACCGATGGAAAGGTTATTCAATCTACTTTTCAAAAATGGTTTTAGTTTGGCAGTGGATATTTTGCCGGAGACGGCAAACCTTTAGTAAACGTTAGTTTGCCGGATATGCACTGAACATGCACAGTTAAACATTTTCCAGTGACAAATTTTAGTCTGGCTCCATGCCATTTATATCGTTGTAACCTCGTATTCACAAGATGGGATTCAGACCATTTTATAATTTCGGACTTTATTTCCCTTTTAAAAAAAATCCTCCAGAGCCACAAATCTGAAAAAGAAAATGTAATACTCTGCAATAAAATGTTTGAGACATGTTAAAATAATAAAAGAAGAATATTCTTATTTATTTGGGGCTGGATAAAAAAAAAAATTTAAAATGTGGCGGGAGTTGGGATCGAACCCGAGTCATCCCGCTCACTAGAGCGTTTGCTTAACCGCTACACCAAACGTGCTTCACAACTTTTGGTGGGAATTTAATACATCTTATAATTCAGCCCTATCTTAAAGAGTACAGCGCCCTCTGTTGATATAGATTGCCGCGGGCAATCTAGTTTGCCGTCATTACCTCCGGCAAAATATCCACTATCTTTTAGTTTTAGGATACTCACTTACATTTAAAAATAAATCCCCTACGACCGTCACTTGCCGTTAACGAACTGCCGAAATGGAACGCGCACGGAAGCGTGATTTCATGTTTGTCGGCCTGCTACACGATTGTTCAGGGGAATTAAATCATGGCAATACATGCAACTTGTTCGGAAATTATTCATAATTCCACCATACAAATATAAGATTTGAAGTCTTTGATTTGTTTTTTCTCAGTCAGTCCGCAGCGCACGCGATAATGAGGTCAAATCCCGAACTTTATGTGCACGGGCTACGTCACGTATCGGCCACGAGACTTCCACGTGTTATTGCGAGAGTTTAGCAGCTTTTTTTTCCATGAACTACACGTTGCAAATGAAGTAGCGGGTCTCCAAGATGGCGTGGTAAGTCGAAAGCGAACGTTTTTCTGAATCGAATGATATAAAATATGTCGAGATTCAGTAAGTTTTTAGCGGAATTTTGTTCACTCGAAGTTGGGGTGTGATTTTGAGGATTATTTTTGTTGTGGTTTTAGTTCCTGCGCCCTGACTGGACTAGGTAAAAATGACGAAAATGATCACCACACATCGATTAAGGAAGCAATGAGCTTTCGTTTGATATGTATTTTAGCTAGTTGTGGCGACATGTTTGTAGTTTTTTTCTGCGACACTTTTCGTGCGCGAGATTTGAAGTTTTTCGACCATTTTTTTCGGCTTGTACATGCGGAGCGTGTACAGTATGAATCATCGTGCACACGAGCACATGTAATTTTTAGGCATTTTGGGGCATGTTGGGGGTGGCTGATCTAGTCAATTCGTCATGCATGTTAATTTTTTTTATGTACATTTTGCTCATTTTTTTCACAATTTAGGCCTATACAAATTTGTTTATTTACAATTTTTCATTTCATTACAAGATGGGATCATAAATTTTTGTTCAGCTTCCTAGCTATTTACTCCAAAATCAATTTCTATCAACTTTTATCTTGTGTGTGGATGTCTGTTTTTCATGAAGATAGTTGTTTTGAAATAATTTACAAATAATGTAAGTTTTTTTTTCTTAATGCTACCGAAACGGTTTTTGTTCAGTTACTTTTGGAAAATTCCCTGGGAAAACTATACAACATACGGTGCATTTAGGCTATACACTAATTTGCTTTTGGTCATACAAAGAAAAGTCGTGAAGAAAATCCTTTCGATAAATTTACAATCCTCATATTTTTTCTTTCACTATCAATACAGGAACCTGTTAGAGCCAGTTCAATGCCTCGGTCCTCAGTTGTCGACAGTTTCATCGCCTCCAACACGGGAACCGTCACGTTCACTTCAGTGCCTTGGTTGGCATGGTCCTCATTTTATGTCGTTGACATTGACAATTTATCATCTCTCACACAAGAATGTTTTCTGAGACTCAGATTCATGCAGTATTAAGTTTCTGTGTGCAGATTTTATGATTTTTGTACTTCAGTGTAAAGGCCGGTTCATATACTTGTAGCGAATGGAAAGCGACATTGACATCATGAAACCTTCGCTTCAAATTTGACGGAATTGAAACATGCTCAACTTTTGTGAAATTGCAGTGCCGTGACGTCAACAATTTGAATTTGCATTCGCAGAGTATGATCCGGCCTTTATATGTACTGCGTTGTGCAAACAACATCATCACCATTTGTTGTTGCCATGTTAAACACGGTTATTTAAAGTCATGCCACAGATACCATGCCAAAGACAGCAACCAAAGATTATCTCAAATTTACTACATGTAAACATTGCTTCATGTACATAATCGTGATTAGTGACACTATGCCAGAACTGTGGTTATTGTTATCATCTTCACTTCACTGTAAATTGTTTAAATTGAACCTGTTACTACCAGATTTTAGCAGTTTTTAGATTGTAGGAGAGTTGATGATATTTTTGCTATTGATTTTTGTTGACGTTTATTTCTTATCCAAAGACAGATGTTGTCAGACATGGACGTGTATGCCAAAACTCATTTTTTAAAAAATGTTTTCCCTTCTTTATGCAAGCTGATTTTTATTCTGGCTGGAAACATGGGTATTATTAACACATGTATTTGCAATTTGTGATGTGCGATGTCATGAAAAGAAGTTATCTGAGTTTTCCATGAGTGTTTCAAAGCAAGGATATGATGGTGTAACAATATTATACAAAACTGATCAAGTATGTTAATGCTTGCAAGTACATGTACATGTAAGTTTATTTATTTTTATTTTTTTTATTATAAAAATCTTTGGACAATGATTAAAAATCTATTTAAAAAATAAAAGTAAATTGTCCTGGTCAAGACAAACGTTTGTAGAAACTGTCATCAAAGATGAGTCAGCCCAATTAAAAATTAAAATTTAGAATTAAAAAAATACAACAGGCATTTTATATGAAAATATACAGTTCTCATATGAAACAGTTCATAACATAAATTCAAAGTTTATAGGATTTTTATAAGTTGTGTTTTGAAAATTGTCTTCAATAAATACAGAAAACAAATATCCTTAAATAACTTCAACTTTGTCACATGAACATTTTTTTATATTTTGGATTTTATTATTTGATAAAGGGGATACAATTTTGAAGAAAAAAAGTCTAAAAGTGTTAACTTACATTGGCCCTGGGCACATTTAACTTAACAGATGAATAATTTCCGAAGGGTTCTACAGCGACAACAAAATAGTTAAAAATCTACCATCCCTGCACAAAATTCCACGTGCGTGTTGTAACATGGATACATGAACTACACGTTATTATGAAATCTTTCGTGATGACGTCATTTTTGGCCAATGAGGGCACGGGAAAACGACGCACTGTCATGGCGGGATGTTTCGTTGTTGGGTTTTTGAAGATCGTTAGAATTTTCTGCGCCCTGACTAGACTAGCTAAAGATCAAAGCGAAATCGAAAATTTTTGGATAAAATATAGCATTATCTCTGATGTTGGTGTGAAATTGAGCTGTGGCCGCTGTCAGAAGATGGAGAATACCGTCGTTTTTTGAAGGCCAATTCGTTGAGATTCGAAGTTTTTTTTCCGTTACAAATTTCTCCCTCTAAATTTCACGTAATTTCCAATCTGATTTGATAATATAACAGAATGGTTCTCTGTCTAAAAGAAAATATACATGATATTGATAGTTGACTAATAAAATGGATATTTCGGACCACATTCCATGGGTCGTCGACAGCTCATTAAGTATTCAAAACGAGGTCACGCACCGGAATGCCATGCATACAGCGCACATAAAATGAACGGCTTTTCAGTGCGCTGCGGACTGACTGTTCTATACCCACCAGAGTAACTGCTGGTCGTTTGGCCGGTTCCGCAAACGCATTCATACTGCCTATACAATACACTGGCACTGGCCATGGTATGACTGTATTAACCAGTGCTGCTATGATAGTATTGACAAGTATTG